TCCATCCTCCCTGGCGGGACCCTTCTCAGCCTCGTCCTCCTCAGGTGCAGCAGCACTCGGCTCTTCTGGAACCTCCTCGTCATAATCCAGCTCATGTTCATCCAGATCTCTGGACACGGAAGATTCGTCCTTCAAATCACTCACTACCATCGCCGCCCGCCTCCGTCGTCTTCTCTCTTCCTCATCATCCTCTTCCTCAAGCTCAGCACGGCCGAGGCCAGACTTGGTGGTTGCCTCATCCTCCTCGTCTCGCTCCTCTTCTGCTGGGGTGAAAGGTCGCTCGTGTTCTGGTCCTGGCGAGTCAGGATCAGGTGATCTCGGCGTCTCAAGGATCTCCTCTTCAGGAGACTGGCTAGCATTCTGTCTGCTTCCTCGGACCGTCAAACCGAGGTCTTGTTGGTGGAAATCTTCCCTCTCCTCCCTGCCTATCTTGTAGTCTTCCAGGTCTGACACCTCCTCAGGATCTTCTCCTCCAGCTGCTACCCTGTCTCCATCCTCAAAGTCTGAGTCTCCTTCACCCTCCTGTACTTCATTTTCATCATCATTCAAAAGCTCACTGTCTGAAACTCCCTTGTCTACTTCTGCTGGGGACTCGGGCGACTCCAGCAGCTCGTTTTCGGAGAGACCCTTCTCCTCCTCCTCAGGAGATTGTGGGGACTGGGTGGGGCTCTCTGGCGTATCCATCTGCAAGAACTCTGAAGCAGACATTCAACATCAGCCAAACAGTTAGTACAGAAAAAAAAGACTAAGTTAACAGACCCTCTAAGACCCACTCCGCATAATTACAACACTTATTAAAATAAAACCTATATTTTTGTAGGTATAGGCCTACATGGGAAAAATCTAAACATAACAAACTGAACTTTATCACAGCGACAGTTTTTACACAACTAGGGACACTGCACTCCTGGAAGCCTGACACATTTATAACAAATTTAATAAATACTTATTTGCATTGTAATATTTTAATTAACATTAATGTATTATTTTTAATAAAAATATATATTTATTAAAATACAGAATAACATTTATAATAACAACATATGTTTCCATTAAAATATGCCTTCATTTTATTTTAAATATTGACATCCTAAAACACTGCTTACAACAAATTTAGCAAATATATATTTGGCATGTGATTTAAAAAAAAAATTAATCATTAAATAAAAAAATATGCATTTACAAAAAAAATGTATACCATATATAAAAAAGATAAAACAACAAAAATAAAGTCAATGCTTGAACCCTCTGAGTGTTGACTTGATACTAAATATAAGACAATTACAAATATTTACTTGTAAGTTTTTTAAAATGTTAACGTTGTTCAAATAGTAAAAATTAAATGGCGTTTGTAAAATTACAGAAAATAAGCTTTACTGCGGTTGATATCTTACATATTAAACTGCCTTTCAGAACACTTGTCACTTTATATTTGAATGAAAGTCTTATACAAAGCTAACAGTTTTTATTGTAGCAACAATAACTTTAATATCAATGTTATTTAGGTAAAATCTATACCATGATGATTTTATGTAAGGTACTTCTGCATAAACAAAGTCCATATTAAAACGAATTAATTACCCTACTAGTTCTTCCATAACAACACCTCTATATTAGCCTGCTAACGTAAAATAGCTTAACCGCATTCAAAACTTAACAAATAAACAAACTTTTCCATAACACACAAAGGCCAATCATTGAATCATCTGGAACTTGTTTACCTTCTCAGATTTAAGGCAATGGATTCATGAGAGGAAGACCGACACATGTCTTACTAGCCGCTTAATCTTTAACGGGAGAGCTCGTTGATGGCGATGCGGCTAACAGGCCCGAATCCTGCCCGCACACTACAAAACGACACCATTTCCGACATTTTCCGAACGATCGCGCCGTTTAAACGCCGAGGCTTGTACTTAAATAACACATACGTTACTTTCTAAGTCTAAAATCGCGAGTTACGGCGTTGCACGATGTTTCTTCGACGCACACTGGCTAAAATCTCATGCAACAATAAAAGCGCTCCCTCCTGCACAACACACGGACATCGCGTATTAAAACACATTCGGTCACCTTTCAAACCACAGAGTCTCGGGAGACAGGGTCTCAGTGTAGGGAGTCACCCGGTCTTTTTCCTTGGGGTGACTGTGTTCAAACAATGAGCGATCTGTCTGGGGTTCTTATTTTTCTCTACCGGAGAAATTCATAAACCCTGCACTACACCGTGAGAGCGGCCATTACCCAGACGTCATCAACGCGCGACCAGATGATCCCCCCACCCCCCACAAACAAGTAACAGAAAGGAAATATTATGAGATTATTATTAGGAAACAATGGAAAATAAATATATTAAATATACAATACATAATAATATATTGAGGCATACATTCATACACACGGGAACAATAGCTATTTATATACTGAGGTCATACAGGAACACGTAAAATTATATAAAATATTATTTAAATATATTTTTCAAAAGCAATATTCACTACTATAGGGGTAGAATATTTTGTGAATGCATCTTTAATTACAGCCTACAGTGTGCCTCAAATCACTCAAGACACACGCACGAATTATCGGCGAACTCTTCCAGTAGGGGGCGCTATTGTAATGAAGGGACCTACAGTTCAGAAGACTTACAGTTAATAGTGCATTTACTAGCGCTTCTGTACAAGATCAGATTATTTGCTCGTCATGTCAAATACTTCATATCAGTGCATTTTGTTTTTCATCTGGGGTTTATAGCCGACACTGCATGAGAGCTGTTTTGGTTCCAAACTACAAGAATGATCTGGTAGGAAACGCTTTATTCTCTTACTTCTCTTGAGAAGTTATCGATGTCAGTTTCCATAATACGCTAATTTTAAGTGGTTTTCTTAAATCATAACTTAATTCCTAAAAGTGTTATTTTTGAAGACGAAGGTGTATGTAGGCTATATAATATGAACTATAAGTATTTTCCAAGACAATGGTTAAAGAGCTGTGCGTTTTACAAGACTGAAATTCTTATAGCTTGTTTCGTTCAAGTCTATTTTAATATATAAAGCTGCTCAGGTAGAAGATCGGTGCTAATGTTTACTAACGTTTTTATAGGCTAATTCTATAAAAAAAATATATAATTGAACGTTTGTAATAGCCTATTGCGATATAAAAATTACAAGCTGAGCGTGTGTATTTTTGAGTTGATTAACGTTAGGTGAAGTTCACATAATCTTTAAGGCGCCAAAATGTTTTGCAAACTGGATGTTGCTTTAACAACTAACTTTAAAAAAAATAAATGTTGTGTAGAACTCTAAATTATTCGTTTTACTCGAACTATAAATATTTCCAGAGTATTGATGAAGCATCTGCTTTCCTGTTCAGGTACAAATATATAAGAGAGACGGTGATTTTCGCACGGACAGTAGCCTAGGCTGTATCCTAAATCTAGTGAGTTCCCTACTTAGACAGCGGTATGTAGCATTTTTGGAACGAGCCAGTGGCGCCCCAAAATGCTGTCTAGTTAGGCAGCTCATTAGGATTTGAGACACAGCCACGCTGATTTAGGATTCTGGTAGTGATACAGTCAGTTAGGAGAACTAAACAAATGTGACTGACAGTCCGTTTCATAGCAGCACGTCTGACTCTCCCCATCATTTTTGAAGCAAGCTCAGAGAAGGAAAAGAAAGAGCTCTCTTTTATATACAGTGGGTACGGAAAGTATTCAGACCCCCTTAAATTTTTCACTCTTTGTTATATTGCAGCCATTTGCTAAAATCATTTAAGTTCATTTTTTTTCCTCATTAATATGTATGTGACAGCAGAAATCTTATGGATGTCACAAATATTGTAGTGCTTCTGTTGAAAAGCAGCCACTCATTATTATTTTTATTTATTTATTTTTAATTTAATTTCTAGCATGTCCCTTCTATGATTTATTTATTCAAGCAAAGACAGCATACTAAACATATAGAGGGACACACACATTTTTGTTCCTCTTCAGTTTACATGATTGGAAACCGCAGTGCTCTTGTCCATATCTGCACTGCCAGAGCAGCAATAATGGAATATGAAATAGAGTAAGATGAAGTCTGAGCAGGGTTTTGCTGGGTTGGGAAGTCGGGATTGAGTTAAATTACTTTTCACATCATGTCCAACTCAATTTATTAGGAAATCCCCGAGAGGCAATGCAGTCTTATTTACAAGGCAAAGAGACGGTTGAAAAGAGCAACAGATGTCTGGATTTTTCAAGCCTCTGTGAACAACATCTTGGCCCCATTTAGTGGCTTTAATGGATTTCAAACACTATTTTCAGACTAGAATTAATGTTAAAATACGTTATCAAGGATTATTTGTGGTTAACATTGTGTCCTTACATTATGATGAGTATACAACAGATATTTCTTCCATTTGGTGTCTTTTTGTACAATATACACTGAAAGACAGCTATTGAGGTAATTTGAAGATTTGTAAAAGATAATTCAATGCGCAGAAAAAAAAACCCGTTATAAAGGTTGTATTTGATTTAAACATCCTTGGATATTAAACATGACATTTGCCACAGCAGCTGTGTGGCTTTAAGTCTTTCTGTGATTTTCCCCACTTATCGCCGTGCACCACTTAAAATGTCTCATTTTAATAATTAAAAGCTTCTCATCCTGTATAATAATGTTCAGAGGAAGTCTCCTACAATCCTTACTAGAGCAAGTGTTATGGGAATATTTGTAAAGAGAACAAGTAGGAGGTCTGTGTCTGCATCATGTTATTTTAATATGTGATGCTCCCACCTCAGTGCACGTCTGTGTGCCGCCTTACCATTTTCGCCAGATGAAATGGACTGTTATTTAGTAATTAACAGACAGCTATCCTCTTAACAGTGATTGAGACTTGCTTTTTTTCCCTGCTGACTTCTGCAATCTTTTATTCCAGAGTGATCGATTGGTTGGATGCTTGCATTAATCTGGGTGGGGATTATGCTGTTGAAGCCAAGAAAATTAAACAACATACTTAATAAGAGAAAAGAACATCAATAACTGGAACTGAACAGTTTATTTCAATCGTTTGAATATCAAACAGATTCTATTCTGCTTTCTTTGCTCCTCCACCAATTTGATTTCAGCCAGTTTCTTCACATCTTGTATTTCAATACTCACACCAAGAGGACTAATCATGCAAGAAAATGTGAGCTCCAGAATGGACACCCCCACCAACATCTCCCTGGTGGGGTCCGGGGACGCTGTGTCTGAGTCCCTGGAGTATACGACGGTATCTGTGTTCCTAGTGCTGCTGGTGTGTGGTGTGGGCATTGTGGGAAACATCATGGTCGTGCTGGTGGTTCTTACCACACGGCACATGCATACACCCACCAACTGCTATCTGGTGAGCTTGGCCGTGGCTGACCTGATGGTCCTGGTGGCCGCGGGTCTGCCGAACATATCTGAGAGCTTGATGGCCACCTGGGTGTACGGGCATGCTGGGTGCCTGGGTATCACCTACTTTCAGTACCTTGGTATTAATGTGTCCTCCTGTTCGATCACAGCCTTCACTGTGGAGAGGTAAGACCTAAAATGAAAGGAAGTAACATACAACTGAAATTAAATGGCTTAGAGCTGGATACAGAGTTTATGGTAAAAGACTGTATTAATATAATATGAAAATACGTATAAAAAAAAGTATATATATATATATATATATATACTGTATATATGTATAATATGAAGAAAAATGCTCCACGAATAATGAATATTGATAGTCTTTGTGGCTCATTACTTGTGTTTGTGACTCATTACTATGTGTTATGTATACAAACAAGCTGACATTTTAATTTATTTTTTCTATTTATTTATTTATCTATTTACTTTTTGCCATGTAGAATTTCAGCATTTTAAATATCAATATTTAACACTCCTTGTTGTACTAAAATATTTCTAATTTTACATATGTTTGACTTAATTGGAATGGTATGAAACTTGGTGAGTATTGTGGTGCTTGCTATATGAATACAACAACAACAACAACAACAAAAAGTGGACATAATTACAAAAGGCTTAATGATCATAAAAAAACAGTCCCCCTTACAATTGTTGTGGCCAAAAATGACTGCCATAGGAAATAAACGAAAAAAATACAGAGCAATTTTTTGGGGTAGAACCTACAAATCAGCCATGATGAAGTAATCTATGATAATTTCTAAATATATATCCAAATGTAAAACCAATTAAAAGTATTTATGTCTGAAAATACTCTTACAAGCAGCTAGGGAATACACACAGCCCTTTTTATATTTAGAACCTATAAAGGCATAGTGATTATACCATAGGATTACTGTACATATGTTTTTCTTTATTTCTCCCACGAGATTGCACCATTCTGCCCTGTACTGAATTTTAATCAACTTGGCTCTATTTTGTATTATTAAAAAAAAATTGCATTAAATGTTTGTTCCTAATATTTGTATTATTTTCTATAGAAATAAACGGTGTGTAATTTAGAGGGGAGTTTGTCTAGTACCATGATATCCTTTCAAAAAAATTTAATTCCTTTTGAAATATTACTGGAATGAAATATATAATCCATTATTTTCATTAAAAATGTTACGCTTATTGTCTTCGGTCTGTCTTTAATTGAGAAATACTGGGTTAAATTAATTCAATTATATAATAAACATTAATATTTTCTCTCGGTTCCACAGATATATCGCCATATGTCACCCAATGAGGGCTCAAACTGTCTGTACGGTATCCCGAGCCAAACGCATCATTGCCGGGGTGTGGGCTTTCACCTGTGTTTATTGTATGCTCTGGCTGTTCCTGGTGGACATCCAGGTGAACCCTGATGGTCGTGTTCAGTGCGGCTACCGCGTCTCTCGAGACCTCTACCTGCCCATCTACCTGATCGACTTCGCCATCTTCTATGTGATCCCACTGCTTCTGGCCATCGCTCTTTATGGTCTCATCGCTCGAATCCTTTACCTGAATCCTCTGCCCCACCCAACAGACTCGGGTACCATAACTGCCCCCACTCTCAGGAGGAGTTGCAAAGAACCAGCGGACGCCGGAAAAGCGGGTCGTCAGGGACGCCCGAAGAGCGCGCTTTCTTCCCGGAAACAGGTGTGTGTGTCTACAAAAGTTTGTGTTTAGACAATTAATTCCGCATTTTGATATCCACTGAGATTGCAGTCGAGGGCAAACGAGGGGCAGTTCTTCCCTCCTGTACCGTGCCTTATGATTATTATCTCACATTTGTTTTTTGAAAGGTCAGTTCTCTATTTTATGATAATGATGTTTCACTCTACTAAATGTCAGTTTGTGAGGAGAAGAGTGTGTCGATATTTTCCTGGTGCAGATTAAAATAGTGTTTAAAGTAACACATTTAATTGGCAAAATTTGGATAATCAAGCCAATACTTTTTTTTGTATTTTTTTATATTTATTATTTAATATTATATTTGGTTGCATCTTAAAAGCCAAGTGCCTAGAATTTTGCATAAAAATAAGAAAAGAGACAATAATTTATGCCTAGCTGCTTTTGGTGGCACTCATAAAACTTAAAATATAATCACAAAGAGCATATGCCAGTGTTTCATGCATGCAACAACTAACACAGCGCAAGTTGGTGTCCGATTCGCAAACAAATGACTCCTAAAGGCACCGATTGTTTTTGATGATTCAGTCAAAAGAATTCACAGCTTTGAATTTGCTTGCAAGTCAAAGGTTTGAATCAGTCACTCAATCAGAATCCAGTATATAGTTTACAGTAATTTTTCGGCTATGTCAGATTCTAAATGACTGTTACCTGTCTATTGATTTGCTTTATATGACAATGCATAATTAAAGATGCAGAGTTTTGTGTAGTGAACAAGGTCCAATTGTACATTACATAAGAAAAAGTCTGTTTAGGTGACATGTTGGAACCATTATCAACACATTTTACTGATAGCATCCAAATGGAAGTAATTTATACTAAACATTTTCTAAGTGTAGTTGTTTGTTGTCTGGAGTTCTGTATAAAGCACAATAATATCTCTGCGCACCTTCTTTTGTGCAAATAAACACAGATATGGATGCAGACCAAACATCTGAGATCATCATTTATTATGTGAAAGTGTACCTAATGGCAGAATATCATCATAAAGCAGATTATCAGGATCTATTTCATCAGAAGAGAGGCATTAAGGGCCATCGGGGTACTGTTTTGGTCTACATTACCATCACTGCATCAGCCACAGCTGTGTTGTGACTCTGGAATAATAGACTCTGTGATAGATCATAGACATTAGAGATATGATCTATGCAGGCGGTGAGAATACAAAAGGCATCAAGTCAAATAAAAGGCCAAGAATTTCAGAAGATCTTTGCCCTGAATGAAGATGAATGTACACAATCACACAGTCGACAGTGACAGCTGCTTCCTTCAGTGTGACATACTATACTATACTATACTATACTATACTATACACTGCCATTCAAAAGTTTGGGATCAGTAAAATTTGTAATGTTTTTAAAGAAGTCTCTTCTGCTCATCATGGCTGCATTTATTTGATCAGAAATACAGAAAAAACAGTAATATTGTGAAATATTTTAATATACTTTAAAATATAATTTATTTCTGTGATGCAAAGCTGAATTTTCATCAGCATCATTACTCCAGTATTCAGTGTCACAAGATTCTTCAGAAATCATTCTAACATGCTGATTTAATATCAATATTGTAAACAGTTGCTGGTTAATATATTATTATTTTTTTTTAAACTGTGATACTTTTTTCAGGATTCTTTGATGAATAAAGTTTATTAAAAATAGAAATCTTTTGTAACAAAAGTTTCCAAATATAAATATTAATATATTTATATTAATAATAAATAATTCCAAAATATTAAGCAGCACAACTGTTTCCAACATTGATAATAAATCAGCATATTAGAATGATTTCTGAAGGATCATGTGACATGCACCGAAGACTGGAGTAATGATGATGAAAATTCAGCTTTGCATCACAGAAATAAATTATATTTTAAAAGTTTTTTTTTTTGGTATTTTTGGTCAAATAAATGTAGCCATGATGAACAGAAAAGACTTCTCTAAAAATCTTACTGATATATAATATTATATATATATAATAATAACCCTGCCAGATAAACTTATACTTGTAGTTCTGTGGTTCAGAGACTTTAATGATAGTTCAGTGATATAGATTTAATGAATTTAATGATAGATTTGGAGCGTCAAACAGATGAGAATGGATAATATCATGAAATTCAGATCATTGAGTGACCTCACGGGCACGTATCCCTGCGTTTACCGCAAGTGCACATATGTGTGTGTGCGGAGATGCTCGTGTGAGCCTCAGATAAAAATCTTGGAGATTCAAGACGGCCCCACTTGAGCGGAACATTTGCATAATATGATTTGTGATATTCACTCAAGTATGCTTAATACTCCTGGAGATTATGCTCTTTGAGGTTATAAGAGCGACTCCCTTTCTTCCGCTTTTGTACCTCGGTTATGGCGCACCTCCAGCTATTTGATCACTTCATCTGCAAATTTCATAAAGTTCAATACGATTCAAGTTGCCTGTGCCACCGCGGTTGTTGAGTGAAGTTATCTCTCCTATGAATCTGATAAAGTCATCACTACAGTAGAGGCTCCGCTTTATTTAACCTAATCATGAGTAGCAGCCGGCTTTGTTTGTGCTGTGTTAAGACCTTGTTTTCCATTGATAAGCAATCACAATAACCAGATATTTCAAATGCATATTCAAATTGTCACTGCCAGTCATTATCTCCTGCTTTGTTAATTAAAGGAGCTCCTCCCAGCCTCGCACGGCTTCAATTAAATGCTTTGTTGTGCAGACAATTTTGTCATTATTATTGAAGGTCTCTGTCACCGGTTGTCTGAGACAATGAATACGCTCGAACCCAGAGGAGTCCCTGTGAATGTTAATGAAATGAATTTTAGTATGTATTTATAACTTGAAATGAGTGAGGACACACTAGGGAGGACTGCTTTGTTTTCTTTGACAGACAAAACATGGTGTGGATATATTTCACCCTTCTCACAGGGGTTCAGCAGTGTCTGCCTGTTAACCATCACCGGGGACACAAAGATGATATTTGACTGATGTTTTATGGAAGATGTTTGAGCATGTCTCATCTTGTCTCTCTGTCATTCTCTCTACCACTCCCTCTGTTTGCATGCCATGGACTTCTTCGTTTGTTTTAATGCAACGATAATGTAAAATGCAGTTGTTTCTTTGAGATTCAGACAAGGATGATTTATTTCTTTAAATTTAATTCAAAGCACTCAGTCTAAGCCTGTATGTATATTTTCTCTAAGTAATATCTTTAAATATGGATGCTTTAACAAGACATGGAACTGCTGCATTGTCAGTACACATATTATTTTCATTGATCGTGTACTTGTGTTTTTATGCCTTGAAAGCGTAAATATTTGTTTTCCAGTAAATGTGTTTCGGAATTTATAGTTACATTATAGCTAATTTAAACTATTAGCCCTATATTTAAGTCAGAATAGACAGTAAAAAAAAACATTTGAAATAGAAATCATTTGTAACATTATATATATATTTTTTACTTTTGAACATTAGTGTAAGTAGAATAAAATAAAAATAAACAGAATAGAAATGACTGAATTACTGCTATCATCCTTGCACAAGAAAATAAAGCTGTTTTTGTCTGTCGCTGTTTAAAAATGCACACAACCTGTCAAAAATCAGAATTATATTGCTATGCGAACACTGACTTGTTAAAATAAAATATTCAAGATTCATATTGTTAAAAGAAAATATTCAAAAGACGAAGGTTAAACTGGCACATTGAACATCTGTTCACACTGTTAACGGCATGAAAACAATGTTAAAAAATAGTACAGTATGTGACCACGAGGAACATGCTTGCTGTTAGTGTTAGAAATACTTAAAAGAAGTGTTCTGAATTCATACGAAAGCTTTGAGCAATCTGAAGGTAGTAAGAACTCATGTTTGAACTTTGAACCATTGTCCATTGCTGTGTATGTGATTATATATGGAGAACCCCAAAGAGCCACTTTTATCATTTCTCACCTCTTCAGGTCACTAAGATGCTTGCAGTGGTGGTTGTGCTCTTTGCCCTGCTGTGGATGCCGTATAGGACCCTGGTTCTCATTAACTCCTTTGTGAGTACGCCATACCTTGATGCCTGGTTCCTACTCTTCTGCAGAACCTGCATTTATGCCAACAGTGCAATCAACCCTGTCGTTTACAACTTGATGTCCCAGAAGTTTCGCTCGGCCTTCCGTGGGCTGTACCACTGCCATAGGGAAGACGCGCACCAGCGGACGCTCTCCACGCTCCAGAGTGGATACAGCCTTGGAAGGGACCCCCGACTTTGCTGCAACACCAACGGCACACCTAAAAAAATCGGTTTAGTCACTCCTGAGCAGAAACCAAACAAAGGCATGGAGAACCACAAGGAAAATATGAACAAGCTAATTAGAGATGCCGTAAAAAATGAGATTGAGCCAAGCTTCAAGAGAAACGCAGTTGAAAACGGCAACATAGATGAATTGAAAAGCTCAGTTGACAAGGAGATACCTACAGTGGAGAACGTGGACATGAGCAAGATTAATGATAATGGGAAAATAATGGAGGAAAGCGATAATACAGCTCAGGATATTATCGCTGACATGATGAGCAACACAGAGCAGACACAGCTAGCCGCCGGTGAATTCAAATCTACTCCGGGAGAAGCTGAACAGAATGACACAGAGTTAAATCACAGCATTGTATAGATCATTCCACTACATACTGTATATATTTCACTGAAGTGTCAGGGTTGAACGGTAGAGCCTGGTTGTTCATTTTAAAACCTGATCTTGGAATTCGAAACTTGTGTTTACAGGCGTCATCCTCACTCTCCAGTGGAAGTGGCAAGACTGGAGCCACTCTCTCCTCATCATTTACAAGTGGAACCATTTGGCTGTCAGCACCAGCATCACATGCCTCCTAGTGTAGGAGCTCCAGATGGGGCTGATTGATTTGTTACAAAACATATTATTTTTTAATATTATTTTGAAACCATTAACATCTCATATTGCAGCTGCTTAAAAATGTAGACTTAAAATGACACTGAAACATCACCCATGAAAAAGAAAAATCACAAATGAGTCTTAAGGCTGAAATAACCAACACGAACCTCATCCTGCTTTTAAAACAGGCATTATACACTTGCCGACTTTGTAAATGGTTACAGATCAACTGAATGACATACAGTAAATGACTGAGGGTCACATGCTGCCAGACTTTCAAGACATTTTGAAGAAAACAAACTCACACAGAAACATGTGCCTCATTGCTAGGAGATGCATGACAAATGAAAACAATATGTGTTCTAAAATCAAAAATCTGGGGGAAAAAAATGTAAGTGTATTCCAGTGAGTTCAAACTGGGTTTTTGCTTAAAGGTATAGTTCACTCAAAAAAAAAAAAAAGTAGGCTAAGTCATTTTTACTCACCCTCATGTTGTTCCAAACCGGTTTGACTTTTTACTTCTGTGCAACACAAAAGAAGATATTTTGAAGAATGTTTCATTCGGTTTTAGTCCATACAATGAAAACCAGTGGGGTCCAAAACAAGATTAGACCCTGTTGAATTTCATAGTATAGAAAAAGTGCTTCCAATATAAATAATTACTGTTTAAAGTCGGCATGAAATGGAAATTCATTATATCTACATTGTAATGTATCTTATTGATCTTATTGTGAACGATTCATCCATGCATGTTTATTTATTTATTTTACCTCATATTTTTTCATCAAAATGTCAAACTCCGCTTAAGCCCCGCCCCTTTCTTACAATCAGCTGCAAGCTCGCATTCAGATCTGCCTTCATCCAATCAACAAGAACCATCCGTTCTATTATGGTGGTGCTAGTGAAAGAATCCGTTTTAATTGCATTTTCACAAGCTGGACAAATCTTAATGAAGATTTAGACTTAATGAAGGTATCAGAACTGACTAGAGAGCTGATGATATTGGATATAGAATCTTCAAGGAGCCTCCCCTCTTTTCATATTATAGGGGACGCAACATAAGAGATCATCTAGTCAGTTCTGATATCTTCATTAAGGAGAACAAATATGTGACTTTGGATCATCCCACTGGCTTCTTCCCATGCAGGATTTGTTAAGCTTGTGAAAATGCAATTAAAACGGATCCTTTCACTAGCACCACCACTCAGAAAACATTCAAAATTAGAGAGACCATCACTTGTTCATCATCTTTTGTCATTTATCTTATTTCATGCCCATGTGGTCTACAATATATTGGCAAGACTAATCGCCAACTAAAGACCCGCATCAACGAGCACAGGAGCTCTATCAGAAGGATGGATATTCATTCTCCTGTGGCCAGACATTTTGCGGATGCTGACCATAAACTTAGTGATATGAGATTTACAGGTATTCAGAGATCGACCAGTTCAAGAAGAGGTGGTGATTCTAAACTCCCAACAGACAACCATTGTTCTCCAATTTGATGTAGATTATCCATTGCTTTACATGTACACTTATTGTGGTTATTTATTTATTTTTCGTTTTTTTTTTCATATGTTAACATTTTTTTATTTTTATATTTTTTATTTTTTTTTGGATCAGTGTGTGTTCTGATTGATCATGTGATCTCTTTAATTATCATGTGATTTCTCACATTAAGATGGCTCCTAGTTCTAACATTGTTATGGTGCGTTCAAGTCATGTCGGATAGATCGTATTTACGAGTTGAACGCACATGAACGCCACCACAAAGTCATTATTACGAGTGGGAAACTCGAAATGTTCTTTAAGCCCAGAGTTTCCGAGTTGGGGGCGTGTCAATGAGAAACATGGCGGAATCGATGGATGCAACGTCTGTAGTTGACAGTAAATTTTTGTTTAAATTGATAGTTTAGCTGTCCTATAAACTTAAATTGGTCATATTCTTGTTACGCAGCTGAAATCCAAGTAAAAAATGCAGACCCTGTTGTATTTTCTTGTAATTTATTAAAAGAAGGTACACCGCCATCTTGTGCCGACTAAACTGACTTGAACGCACCTGAAGTCGTAATTACGACTTGTCAACTCGTAAGTACGAACATCCCAGGAGGACTTGAACGCAGCATTAGCTTGGCATTGAAAATGGTCAACATGTGACCGAAACGTTTGCCTTGTTTTTACTCAGTAAATTGCTCATATTGCTTTCATCTCACTTGTGACTCTTTGATGTTTGAGTGTGCGGACTTTTTTCAAGCTCTTCACCTTTGGGAAACTTTTTTGGTCTACGCACCTCAGTTGGATTATTTTGAAGGCGCGGTGAGTCTCTGGCTGCTTCCATATCACAGTTTCGACATGAATTGAATTAATTGTGCAGCCTTAGCTCCAGGATGTGTCTTTTATCAACACAAAACTATTTTGCCCACTTTGTGTCTTTAAGCTCAGTGCAATGAGAAACAAATAAACCTCATCCTGCTTTTAAAGCATAGACACCAAGTTATCTCATAAAAACATTCAGGATGCTACGGGGCATAAGATCCATTTAAAATGCTTTTGTCCAACAATAAGGCCCAAAGTATCATGACACGCATGTGTTTTCCCACAGCCAACATTTGCCATCACTGGATGAATTCCATTCTACGTGGAGATCTAATGCCTCGCCATTTGTTCCAGCCCAAATAAACAGAACCCATTCTGTGTGCCCAGCGGTATGTCTGAGCTTTTTAGACTCCATTTACAGCCTCATGGAAGATGAGTAGAGCCAGGCATCCATTTGTCAGGTGTAGTTATTCATCTTTTTATGTGGAGTGCAAGAAACACCTTCCACGCAGAACAGAGCCGACAGTTTCTGTTGAAGCAAGCAGACAGATGTAACCATAAATCATCTATAAACAGAACATATCCTTCCAGGAGGAAAGAGGTGGAGCTGAAGCATATTCTCAAAGCACTCTGTTGTTTAGCAAGTGCTATTTTATGTGTTTTAATGCCTCATATTTATGCAGAGACATAATACTCAACATCGGCGTGATTATAAATCATAACTTTCTGATGCTATCTGGTCATTTTTAGTTGAAATGTGAACCCTGTGTTGTTATTTTAGTACACCATTACATCTAACTGCTCTCTGAAATCTTTTGTTGTTGCTCTGGAGAAGAATGCAACTCCACACTGAAGCACTGTTTTCAAGATCAGTTGAATATGACATTTATGAAGCGTGAATATGAGCCATGCAGCCTACAACTATGGTTATTCATTTTCTGATTTCCTCTGCATATCATTTGATGTTTTGGGTTTATATCATCAATGTAAAGAGGCATTTGATAGAACAAATGTATGCTTATGAGTTTTTAGACTATGCTTGTGTCTTTCTCATAATGTTTCGCAATTGTTGATTGCAGCAGTTTTTAGTCTTGTTTCTGTGCCAGGAGTGGATTTCCTCTGCAGGCTGATGCTTTGCTTGGTGTTGCCGAAGAAGACATTTCCGTTCTGTGTTTGCTCAGATTGTAAATGCGAGTTGAAATCAGTTCTGTACAAGTGATCTGTGAGCATGTTCAGTTTTCTGCTTGTTTTTAAAAACAGAAAAAAAACATACATATGAAATCTTTCTCCTTTCTTCATTTGGCATCTTGTGTGAAAATTAAAGCTGGATACAATGCAGAATTTTAACGAGTTGTTGATTTATTCGTGTTGATACTGCCACATGTCCAGGAAAAAAAAAAAATTACTGGTTGCAGAAAGTTTAATGAGGATTTCACATTGCATTGCATTACTTACAATCTGTGCACTGCATGTGATCTTGAGCATTCAACAGCCTTGGTGGAACTGCACTATAGTATGAAGCGAATGAATCAATATCAGTTCATAGGTGTAGTTCTGAGGATTTATGTATGGGTCAATGGCAATCTAGGATGATCAAAATTAGAAACATTTTAAAGATGTAGTTTACAACAAAAGTTCCTAGAAAGGTAGTATTTGTAATCCATTTTTCATGCAAACACCTTATCGTTTCAGCTGACCATTATTTATACATTGTTTAAAAAATAACATTTACAACATTTTTTAAATGAAAATTAAATGAAAATGTTTCTTTAATAAATGGTACAAATATATTATATTTTAGAGAAAATAATTTAATATAAAAACTTGACATCTAATTTTTAGGATGTAATTATGGTTCACTACAATTTGACTGCAAATTTTCAGATATTAATATTTAAAACTACAACAACAACAAAAATCAGGCTTATGTAATCTAGACATTTTTTAAATGCATATTGATCTTATTTTGTTCCATATATATGTTTTTTTGTCTTGTTTTACATATAATACTTTTTTTTTTAATCAAAATGTCAGAACTCTATCTTCACATCACTTAGACTTTCTTTGAATTTCAAGTTGAAAAAGATATTGAAAACATGTTCATCATTCAAGTGAATTGGATGAACTGAATTGGATGAATTAGATTTTTTATGTATTTTTGAACTAGAATAAAAACACTGACCCATATAGCACCACAGAGCCATTTCTTTCTGTTATAAAACATTTGTGTAGTTTTCTTGTATTCCCTGTCAGTGGATTGCACGGCATTTGGTGCACTTAGAGTGAGGTGTTTATCCTTGCGGGACGTGAGCTATTGGCTGTGCAGTAGTTTCCTCTTAAAGGTCAGCGCACATAGCCACACTCAAACACACACATACTCTCGAAATGCCTCACACTAAATGCCTCACACTCTCCCTTGTCCAATCGATATGCAAAAGATGCAGATATTCTAACATTTCTAGAAGGTAAAAATAGCAATCTTATGATAATGTTTGGGTCAGTATGGCTCTCATGAACATTGCAGGTAGCTTGGCAGCTGGTTGCTAGGGTTACATTCTTTTTCACTTCACTTTTGCGTGATTAGATTGCAGGATTGTAGCCGGGGAAGATAAGACGCCCCTGAGAATGGATTTCCGACCAGGTGCAGTGGTGCCAATCCTGGTGTTGATAAGCCATCTTTTCAAAACTGAGGTGTCATTCAACAAGATGAGGCTGCCGACAGAGTCGTGTTCATCACAGCCCTCACTTTCCCCCCACGTGCCCTTGGCCTTCTAAATGCTCAATATTAAAAACTTAATAGCACGTATCCATTTTGAGGGTTAGATCTAAATCGTTTTTTTTTTTCTTTTATGTGCCATCTTTTTGTTCATTCTGAGAGTGAATCACCCACTTATGAGTAGCTGTCAAAAGTCATTTCCATAGAGAGCTGAAAACAGATTTTCTCTCTAAGAGAGAGTGGCGGACAGGCGAGCCGAAGTGTTGTGCC